ATGATGTCTCGAGTAATATTCGAAAAATATGTGCAAGGATTACGGAAGATTATGGAGTTGTAGCTAATAAAACGAAAGCGGCTAGCATGCGTACCACCCCGGCCAAACCATAGCCGCTGTCGAAGCCTTCACGAAACCAATCTAATTTCGATTTTTTTTTTCGACTATTAGACGAGGTTTTTCGAACTAGAACGCGACGAAAGTGTGGGCTCCGGATGCGACCCTGACCGAAGAGTCTGCTCGATCCCGGACTTGATGGATGTTTTGTTGTTAGCACGCGCAGAGGTCGACCGCCACCGAAACGAGGCATAAATAATAAACGAGGGATCCGTCGAGGGACGCGCCAATCATCTTTCGAGGTGGCCCAGGCGGCCCTTCCCTGACACGTCAAAATAAATAAGCCACTGTCTTTGGATAAAGACTTTTCGGGCAGCAGTGTGGTTGAAGAGGGGGGGGGGGTGCAGGATGCAGGGTCACGTGTTACATTCACAACGCTGAATCGGCTGGAATGGCTCCTAGTGTGTGTGTTTTGGTTCATCGTATAAGGTGAAAAGAATAGGAAGAGGTGTACGTGTGTTGGTTGCACCTAAAAATATATATACTATATCACAAAACCCCGGAGGGTCTCCGAGCAACATTTCTTTTTTTCTTCTTCTCAGATTAAAGTTATGAGCCCGGAATTTCGTCACACCCCACTCTGCCCACCGCCTATATTCCGCGCGCTCGAATCCAAGAAGGAATGAATCCTCGGGGCGGAATCATCGGACGGTTGAGAAAGCGCGTCCGACCGACGATCTTCGCGGATCGGACAAGGAACCGTCGTGCATGCCCGCAAAGAGTCGTCCGGGGGTCGACGCGGTCTCGCATTCTCTCGTCGATCGTAAAGTCGCGAGACTGACACCGAGGAGCAGCAGCAGTAGTAGTAGCAGCAGCAGCAGCAAGAGCAGGGAGCTGCTAGCCCTCTAGCAGCACACACGCAAGAAAAACGTGGCAATCCTCGAAGGCAGAGGAGTGAGTTTCCGATTATCGGCAACAGGCCGTGGGCGTCGCCGAGACAAGCGAGCTCGCTCGGCCTGTGGTCGTAAAGATAGCCGACCCTTAAGTGGCCCCAACTCGTGTACTCTGGTAAACGTGGAAGGCATGCAAAAAAGCGCAAGGACTGGGGGGGCACATAACATTGCTTTCCCCGAAACATCGTCGTTCGTTCGGTTGCCCCCATGTTTTTTGTGGCTTTTGTTTTTTTTGTAGATGATCACAGTGAGGAGACCGGACATCGGAATGTTGTACTCTACAGCTTCGCTGGTCGCTGGTATTGAGGATCTCCGGCGGGTCGGTGAAGCGTTAGCGGTGACCGGGAGGCGCTACGGCGGCGGCGGTCCGTTGGGCTGTGTATTCCGCCCGTCTGGGACACTATACTTGTTTTCAGGACATTGCGGCTTAAACGTCCGAGCCACCACAGGTGTTACATAGAAACAGACCTTTCAGATGGTGGAGAAATGCACTCGAGTGTAGTTACTACTCGTTGTAGGAATGATCGCATCAACGAAACCGGCGGAAGGGTTGCAAGTATTTGCAATTTCGTGCCCGAGGGAAAAGGAACATATTTGAATACGTTATGCTTATGTTTGCATTAGTTAAGCCACGCATACAAAGAACTGAAGGTAATTCAGAGGGAAAAGAAGCGCAGTTATTCAAATACAAAGATAACGTTACTTCGAGAGGTGTGAATAACGTTTAGTGCCAATCATGTTCTGGCAACCGGGCGAGACAACCGAGCGTTTCGGCGGCTCGTGTTTTAAAAACAGCGAAGCGCATCTGGGACGTCCCAGCGAGGGACTAAGAAACAATTCGGACCAAACAGGCCTGCTTATCTACAGCACAACGAAAAAACTTCATAACACGGTGCCGTGTTCAATACGGCGCAAGTTGTAAGAGAGAACACAAGAAGGGGAAATACAGGCAGTTCGGTGTTAGGCCTGATTTTTGTAAGAAACAAGTTGCGTGATTCTGCTGTTGGTATTCACGATGGGATTTCAGATCACAATATCATCTTACTGAATTAAAATAGCGCTTCGTCATTGGATGCCTTCAATCGTCAGGTTGCACGCGTGTATGATTTTTATAGTGTAGGTAGTGTAAGCATACTGGGGATTATTTGGAAATGTCTCTCCCTGGTATTGGTGGTACGGGTGATGTAAACACAATGTGGAATTACTTAAAAAAAACTTTCAATCATTGCTTCTCCCCAAGGATAACACGCGAGATTATTTATTTAAAGCGAAAAATAAAGCGGCGACGCAAGACAAAACCTGTCAGCAAAGAGGACGTTGCCAACCTCTCAAATGAATTAAAAGAAAAAAATTAAGGAATCCCGGGGAAAATGTTTCGGTGTGACCTTGCCGGAATTTGTGAAGACAGCACCACGGAAATTTTGGAAATATCTTGCGCCATCAAACTGAACTTAGATTGCATTGTAGAAAACGGCTTTGTCATCTCGGATCGTATCGCGATTGCCCAGAGGTGCAATGGATATTTCAGTTTTGTGTTTATCGAATCCTGGAATTGTTCTGTGGATCAGGAGAACGACGAAGGGGTACTTGGCAGACATTGATATTTCAGAGGCTGGCGCCCTTTCACTCTTGTTAAATATTAACACAAAGAAAACCGCTGGGCCAGACAAGATTCCCAAAGAATCTCTTAAGCGATATGCGGAATGGGTCGGTAGATACTTAAATATTGTGTCCCCTACTCCTACTGGGTATAGTCGGCTGCTCGCTGTTGAAACTTTACTCGTCTGTTGCTAGTTGAAAGATGTAGTTGTGTTGTCCCTGTTTTAATTGTTTATTCTTTCTTCATCCATGACTTTCGACCGAGTTTCACATAATAGATTGGTACACGAACCACTAGAATACGGCGTTAATGAGCCAGTCATTGCGCGGATCCAGGCCTACTTGTCTGAAGGAACACAGCTTGTCGCTCTCAGCGGAGCGGTGTCGACCACTTGCGGGGTTCCATCGGGGGTCCCGCAGGGATCGGTACTGTGTACGGTTTTGTTACATAAACGATATCGGTAATGAACTCAGTCCTAACCTTACAGCAAGAATGTTTGCGGACGACCTCTTGCTCTACACCAAAAGGCGCAACCCCACGGATCAAGAAAAACTAAACTGGTCTGTCAATTCTGGTAAGAAATGGTGTAAAGAAAGGGGCATGAAAATAAATTTTGAAAAAAACTGTTTCCACCAAATTCGCTAGCAAAAAAAAAAAAAAAAAAGAAATTGTTAGCACTTATATATTTTTTTTTACCATATACAGGGTGTTTTTGTTTAAACTTTACAGAATTGTTTAAAAAAAAGGCGTGAAAGCTACACTTATGCGGTTTGTGCAGGTGAGTTATACGGGCAGGGGGACAGTATGTGGGTTGCTAATCTTTGTGATAAGTCGGGTAATTAATTAAAATTTGTTAATTAACATTTTAATCAGGGAAGATAGACATATGCTTCCAATTAAAAACTTGCTGAGCGTCATCAAAAACCACTAAATCAACTCTTTTTAGAATTCCTTGAAACTCGGGGGCGCACCGAAATTACTAGTCATGTAGCAGGCGCAAAGATAGCAGCTGCAAAACGCGGATGATTAGACTATCCTAGCGTTTCGCCACTGCTAGCTTTGCGCCTGCTACATGAGTGGTAACTTTTGTGCGCCCACGAGCTTCAAGTCGTTCTAATGTTGACTGATATGGTGGTTTTCAACGACGCTCAGTAAGTTTCTAATTGGAACTATATGTATATTTTCACTGATTAAAAATTTAATTAACGAACAACCCACATAATGCCCCCACCCCTGACAATATAACTCACCTACACAAACCTAATAATGCAACTTTAACGGCTTTTTTTAAACAAATCTGTAAAGCTTAAAAAAATAAAAACACCCTGGAAACGATCCCATAGTTCCAGGTGATCACTTCAAATATTTAGGAGTTACGATATCAGCAGATCTCACATGGAATCGCCACATCGATAATTTGTGCAGTACGGCTCGAAAAAATATAGGATTTTTGAAGCGAAACCCAGGCCATACCATATACCACAAGTCAGGTGAAATTCGCTGCCTACACAACACTTATACGGCCCACCCTAGAATATGCCTGCGCGGTGAAGGATCCGTACTGAGAAGATCGGATCGGAAAATTGGAAAAAAAAAAATACAAAGACAGGCTGCTCGCTCATTCTTTCTTGATACCGCCGAACGGACTGCGTTACTAGCGTGCTCGAACAGCTCAGTCTCCAACATCTGCACGCTCGCCGAGAAATATCAAGGCTAAAGCTTTTTCATATGTTTTCAAAACACTTACTAAATGTGGACACATCTAATTTTTTAGAAAGGGAGTAGAGGAAGGAAGGTACATTATAGGACTATGCAAGTGCCGCGAGTTAATAATGACACATCCAAGTGTACATTTGTCTTTTGGTGAGACCAGCTGAAAGTCGAAACACATTTCCCAAAAGTGCTGTGAATTGTGGTTCACTAGCCTTCTTCGAGAAATGTTTACTTGAATTATATTAGTTTCTGATTTCTCTTTATGAGTGCGTAAAAGAAGTGTTATTTTATTGATTAGGTACATTATTTGCTTGATGCGAACCTGCGGGGTTTTGCATATTGGTATGAAATGTACAAGGTGTTAAGCAATGTATATCATATTGCACGATATGACATGTATGGAAATTGACGTTCCACTCCTGTAAAGCGCCGTTCACACTATTGCGACTGAGTAAGACTGAGGGAGACCAGACCGGTTTTTAAGCCTTTTGCGACCTCTTCGGACCGGATGCGGTGCAGCGGAGCTGGTCCGAAGAGATCGCAAGAGGCTTAAAAACCGGTCTGATCTCTCTCGGTCTTACTCGGCCGCAAGAGTGTGAACGGTCTTAAAGCGCCCAGAAGGGCTCACAGTATTTACAAGTGAATAAAAAAAAAAAGAAAGAAACGCATGTACTCACTGACGTTGAGGACTCCCCCGAAGACGGACGGTATGTTGGTGAAGGTGGTGCAGTTCCACCGGCTCGCCCTGAACTGAAACTGGCACTCGTCGATGCCCAGCTTGGCGCCCCGGCTCACGGTCTGCAGGGCCCGGTGGCTGAGCACGCACAGGTCCCGGTTCTCCTTCACCTGGTAGCGCAGCTTGTTGCAGTTCTCGGAGTGCGCCGACGGCTTGAGCGCCAGCATGTTCTGGTACGTGCTCGGCATGCCCAGGAGCCTGCGTCACAAAAGAAAACGGTCGTGGCGTGTCGGGGCTCAGGACCCAGGGGTAACACCCTCGGTGCTTGAAGGGGGTGACATATAGATGGCGCTGGCTGTCGCTTCACTTCAAAGGTTGCAGTTCAGTTGTACAAATCTTAGGGTGCCGCAATCCTCTTGTTCTTAGAGTGATGTGCCCCATCAGGACCCCTATAGCTTCCCTTCCAGACCAGTGATTTCCCCACACATCACCGAGCGGGGGGGGGGGGGGGGGGGGGGGGAGTATAAACCCTCCCTTGTTTTCTCTATTCTCAATGCCCCCCCCCCCCCCCCCCCCCCCCCCCCCCTAATTTCAACTCCTGGGGAATCCCGTGCAACAGACCGAAGAGTGGGGTCCCACATTTTCAATCGAAGGCAACTATGACGCTTGCCTTGTAAGGATAGAACAAATTATTACACAAACTGGGTGTTGAAAAACAAATAGGGTTTGCCTAAAGGTGTTGTTAGCAATGCGCATGCATAGATGTCCACTTCTCAAACAGCAAAAGAGCTCTGTTGCAAAATCCAGAACAGCTTCCCTGATGTAATTTCAGAAATATGGATTGGTTTACTTGGTGTAAGTCTACTTCAAGAATAGAGTGTACAAATGAGTTGTTGAAATCATCGTGGTGGATATGAAGCGGCCTTGGATCATCCTTTTTTTTTTAAAAATCTTGCGCGTGCAGGGGCGCGCTAGTATTTACCTTTGAAGACGCGAGCATGAAGTGGTTTGGAGTCGCTTGAAATCCGCCATAAAAACACCCCATAATAAATAAAAGGTAATAAAAACATTCGTTTTCTTGTGCACTTTTTTTTTTATCGGACCAATGTTTTATTGTCGACACCTGCACCTCCTTCCACCGCAATGGGAAACACAGCCAGCGAAGCTCGGACAACTTAATCCAAACGCGAACGCAGACGACGGACCAAGGGGCGCCTTCCGATTGCTCCCAAACTGCCAATCGAACGGCGATGACTGATGCGACGGACGGGCGAGCGCCGAAGCGACACCCCAGGGACCTATAACACCAGCCCCTCCCCCCCACCACAGAGGGAACCCCAAGCCCCGCGAATGTAATCTCTAAATTGGACAGCAGACGGCGTATGGGAGGGGGGTGTCACGTGACACGGGTTACCACCCCCTGCACTCCGTCTCGCCACGACTTGACAAAAGGCGAAGGCTACGGCCCCAGTGAACCAACCAACGCTTTTGGAGGGCGACACGTGACTTCACTGTAACCTCACTAGTTGCGCGCTGAGTCGTCGAAGCTTCGAGCGGGACCGCTTTTGTACGAACTTTGAGCGACAGGCTAATAATCTCCGTGGGGGGGACAACAGCGACCTCTGGGATACACCAACGAGACTCCTGGTAAGACTGGAGTTCCTCCCTTCCAGCTCTTCTCCAACTGCTTGGTTTAGACTCTTGCGAATGTACCCTGTGGTAAGGGCTGTCACGTGGTTCGTCTTCGTCGCTCTGATTGGCTGGAAGGGACCTTAGTTGAGTTCGCTCTTTGCCAAGTTACGTTGAAACGAGGTATAGTCGCAGACAAGCCGAACGGAGCCCCGTTCCGTACGGTTTCCTGGAAATGACGGGAGAAAAGCGATCTATAGAACAAAACGCCGCCGCCTCGATGCAGGGGTGGAGTTTCTAATCTGGGACCCCCTGAATCCATGATGACCCTCCAGGCTGGGAGGAGGAGAGGAACAGTAAGAGAGATGAAAGGGCGCTGGGCATTTTTGCTCCCCAAATTGATTGGGCCGGCTGTCTTGTCCCTAAATTTCGGTCGTTTATGGAGAAGGGAAAGGACGAGAGGATGATTGTGGGTCACTTGTCTTTTTGACTTCGGGGCGGGTCTGGGTCGTCATGTGGTGGCACTCCCCGCGAGTCCTCGGGTATTTTATTCGAAGTCCGAATAATGTGAATGTATATTGCGCGACGCTTCTAGCGCGAACAGATTTTTGCTGTTTTTATCCTAACATTGAGCGAAAACTATAAGAAGTACAAATATGGCAGAAAATCATCATTCGGGTCAGTGACGTCTGCGGTGAAGTTTGATGCCTTTCGATACTGTCACGGGTGGTGATTCGTGACCAATAAACAAGAAATAAACAGAAATAAATAAACGTTTAATGTGGCGAACTTGTGCCAAAAAATAAAGAAGGAAACAGAAGAAAGCAGAGCGTCGCGGGCGTCGAAGTCGGCGTGTCAGCAGAATCGAGCGCTGGGGCGAGACTGACTCGACAAGGTCGCGGGCGGCCTCTTATCTAGAGTGCGTCGCTATCTCGAAGATTCGGCGAAAGCGGTTCGAGCGTCGCGTGATCGGGGCGAGAATGAACACGCACTTTCTAGAAAACAAAAACAGGATAAATGATAGAAGTTACGGGCGGTACATGAATAAACGGGAGCTTTCTGGAGGACCGCGACCGAGCGTTGCTTTCTCAGCCTTGCGCGCGGCATTACTCCCCCCTTTAAAAGTGCATCGCCCCGATGCAGTGTAAAACAAATCAAAATAAAAAAGAACGATAAACTAAAGAGTCTTTTGGAGCACAAAAGGTCCACAGTCCTATCGAGAGTAGTACGGCTTCAGGCGCACGACGTGGACGACCTCAGGTCGTGGTGGGCGGCGTGACGATGTTCGTGTTCCGTCGGGCATCACCTCGTAGTTCAGATCCCCGAGTCGACGAAGCACTTTGTAGGGTCCAAAGTAACGTTTCAGGAGCTTCTCGCTGAGACCGCGGCGGCGAATCGGTGTCCACACCCACACCCTGTCTCCGGGCTGGAAGTGGACGTCCCGACGACGAAGGTTGTAGCGGCCAGTGTCGACACGTTGTTGAGCCTGAATCCGAAGTCTGGCGAGCTGACGGACTTCTTCTGCCCTTTGGGCAACCACCTGGGCGTCGTCACTTGCGTCGACAGCCACTTCGTGGGGTAACATAGCGTCCAGCATTGTCGTTACCTTGCGCCCATGCACCAGCTGAAAGGGTGTCACTCCGGTGGTCTCTTGTACGGCCGTGTTGTAGGCAAATGTGACGTACGGCAGCACCTCGTCCCATGTCTTGTGCTCCACGTCGACGTACATGGAGATCATGTCGGCGATGGTCTTGTTGAGTCTCTCCGTTAGCCCGTTGGTCTGCGGGTGGTACGCCGTGGTGCGGCGATGGCTGGTGTGGCTGAGACGAAGGACTTCTTGCGTCAGCTGGGCCATGAATGATGATCCACGGTCTGAGATCAGGACTTCGGGAGCGCCGTGCCGGAGGACGATGGATTCAATGAAAAACTTGGCAACTTCCACAGCAGTTCCGGAAGGAAGGGCTTTCGTTTCGGCATACCGCGTGAGATAATCTGTGGCGACGATGATCCAGCGATTTCCCGACGTCGACGGCGGAAAAGGGCCAAGTAGATCCATTCCGATCTGCTGGAAGGGTGCTGTTGGCGGAGGAATTGACTGCAAGAGTCCGGCCGGCCTCGTCGGAGGTTTCTTTCGTCGCTGGCATTCATGACATGATCGCGTGTACAGGTGGACGGTTTTGGGGAGCTTGGGCCAGTAATACTTTTCACGAATACGTGCCAGGGTCCGGCTGTAACCAAGGTGTCCGGACGTCGGGTCGTCGTGGCAGGCTTGAAAGATCTCCTCCCGAAGGTCGGTCGGGATTACCAGCAGCCATGGCGAGTTGTTGTTCCCGAAGTTCTTTTTGTAGAGTACACCTTGTCTAATGGCGAAGGTCGGCAGCGCTCGTGAAAAAACACGTGGCATGGTACTCCCGCGCCCTTCCAGGTGCTCTATTAGTGCGCGCAGCTCAGGATCGTCTCGTTGACGCCGGGCCATGTCGTCGATGTTCACTGCGCCCAGAAAACACTCGTCGTCATCGTCGTCGCTGCTGCCGGAAGGTGTTGCGACGGGAGCTCTGGACAGGCAGTCGGCGTCGCTGTGCTTGCGGCCTGACTTGTAGACGACGGTCATGTTGAACTCTTGTAGTCGGAGACTCCACCGCGCGAGGCGTCCTGACGGGTCCTTGAGGTTCGCAAGCCAGCAGAGCGAGTGGTGGTCCGTGACTACCCGGAACGGGCTCCCGTATAAGTACGGACGAAACTTCGTGATTGCCCAGACGACCGCAAGGCATTCTTTTTCAGTCGTGGAGTAATTTCTCTCCGCCTTGGTCAATGTCCGACTTGCGTAGGCGATGACTCGCTCGGTGCCTTCTTGTACTTGAACCAAAACCGCGCCAAGCCCTGCGTTACTTGCGTCCGTGTGAATCTCGGTTTCCGCATCCTGGTCGAAATGTCCAAGAACAGGAGGAGTCTGCAGTCGTCGCTTCAGCTCGTCAAATGCCTGCTGCTGTTCATCGGCCCATTCGAACTTCTCGGCATCCTTCGTGAGGTGTGTGAGCGGTGCGGAAATTCTTGCGAAATCTCGAACGAAGCGCCGATAGTAGGCACATAGCCCAAGGAACCTTCGGACGGCCTTCTTGTCTCTTGGAGCTGGAAATGCTGCGACGGCACGAGTCTTCTCGGGGTCTGGGCGGACACCTTCGTTACTAACCACGTGGCCGAGGAACTTCAGTTCGTCATAAGCGAACCGACACTTTGACGGCTTCAGGGTGAGTCCGGCGGTCCGTATGGCTTGGAGAACTGCTCGGAGTCGTCGCAAGTGCTCGTCGAAGTCGCTGGAAAACACGACGACGTCGTCGAGGTAGACGAGACAGCTCTGCCACTTCAGTCCTGCCAGTACGGTGTCCATGACACGTTGGAAAGTTGCTGGCGCCGTGCACAGTCCGAAGGGCATCACTTTGAACTCGTACAGTCCATCCGGCGTGACGAAGGCTGTCTTTTCTCGGTCCCTTTCGTCGACTTCGATCTGCCAGTAGCCGCTCTTCAGGTCCATCGATGAGAAATATCGAGAGTGGCGCAGCCGGTCTAGAGTGTCGTCGATGCGGGGGAGTGGGTAGACGTCTTTCTTCGTCACCGTGTTCAGCTGCCGG